ATGCCGAGGTTCATTCAAAGCCGTACGTGGAAGTTACTGTCAATCAATATCTAGACCCCGAAATTTTCGAAATGAGGCGGTAGAGCCTAACGAAATGTTTAGATCAGGTCATAAATATTTTTAAAATGTATCTTGACTTGTTTTTATTGGATAACTGCTGTTTTACGCCGCAGTTCGCGTTGCGAAAGTTATCACAAGAATGCTGAGTTGTGGGCAAAACCTTATGTGTATCTCGATTGGTTTTATCATCTATTATAGGTTTCTTTTTTAAAGTGATGTTGTAGTGTAGGTTGCCCGAAATCAATGCTGGGGGGAAGAAATTAATGTTGCGAAGGTAAGACCTTAAAGGCAAGAATCAGGATTAAATTGATGGGTTGATTCCACTCAAATGTGAAAGTAGGGATGGGAGGTGGACCGCCAGTGGAGAAAAAAGGAAAGAAAATCCTGAAATACACAGGAAATACGAGCATTTTGCTCTATGCTGTGGAGAAGTTCAAAAGACAGGCAGGGAGATGAGAGATAATGTGAGCGCGGAGAGCGGTAGAGAAGTCCGAGAAGAGAGAGCATAGCAGATCAACGTGGCGACGCAGACAAGATATCGAACGGTGGGCGGACCATGTTAGTTTGGTGGAGTCTGTTAGAAGTCCATGGCGCCTAGGGTCCTAGTGACGCGTTTCGATGTAGAAAGGTGGCGCTACCTTTGCACTTGCGTACCCAGCACTTCTAGCCATGGTAAGGGCTTCTTAGGTGGGTCTGAGCCCGAACTTTGCCTTTAAGTGCACTGTGAAGCAGTGCTGGATAGGTTGATTTCTTCCTTTTCTTACGAAGGTCGTTTGTGCGACATGTGGCTGGGCGTCAACATGGAGAACGGTTCTTTTCCTTCTTCTGGTTAGAGGCCTTGCTCTTTACGGTGCATCATTTTCTTTGCGATGCGGTGTTATGGACCATGGCTGAGTAAAAAGAGTTGTGATAAGATCCCTGCAAGGTGACTTTGCTGCTGCTCAGTCAGTTCATGCGGTACCCACTTGTCCAGCTTTCTTACCTTCCCAAGTACCTTCAGGCGCTCCGAAAATTTCAGTATGCTTGCTCAAGGTTATGCTGGCTGCCGTACACTTGTTTGGAAATCTTCTTCTGCCGGGTCTTCAGAAGGCCGCCGTCAAGAGGAGAATGTCGTCCGTAACCCCCTCACTTCGAATCTAGATTTCCCTAACTTGAAAGCTTCGGAGCCATTGAAGCAGTGTGCATTATTGTAACACCAGTTTTGCTCCGCCCGCTATCGCGCGCATCACACGGCAGGCTTTAGCGAAACTGGAGGACCCATGGAATATCAGCATGAGGTACTCCATTAACCACCTCACTATTGAATGTGTTAGACCTTTCCCTTCGCTGAAGTCCATCGAGAATACGCGTGATAACGTCTGGAGCT